AGGACAAAGTAGAACCACAAGGCTTATGGGAGCAGACTGCCTCACATCTTTCACCTGCAAAGTAGTTAGTGGGTTCAAACAGCTGACCTTTAGGTTGGCAGCCAAGTGCTTTGACCAGAGCACACCAGGGGCTTAGTCAAATCTTCAAAGGCCTTTAAAATAAGGGGTAGAGCTATTCCCAAACAAAAAGTTACATGTTGTCACAAGGTAGATTCAGAGTACAGAGAATATTGTAGCAATATTCTGACTTGCTTTTTCTCTGTTACTATTGGAGCATCCTGTTATACAAATAGTTGATGCCTTTTTTTAGGTACAGCTTCTGTTAAGTAATGTAGCCTTGGTGGCAAGTTGGTTACACTTTGGGCTGCTGACTGCAAGGTCAGTAGTTCAAACCCACCAGCTGTTTGGAGGAAGCAATAATGAAGTTTTCTGCTTCTGTAAAGATTTACAGCTTCAGAAACTCAAAGGGGCAATTCTACTGTCTTACACAGGGTTGCTATGACTTAAAGAGTGTTGAGTAAGGAAGAGCTAAATGGCTTGCTAAATAACATGTTTCATGAGTCTGCATATTGTGAAAAGGCTTTATAACTTCTTGGAGTCTCTCAAGTAAGATTTATTGATTATTAAATGATCTTTTGGCTCTAATCCCTTAAATAACAAATTTTATACATAATACACAACTGATACTATCAAGGTGTTTTATTTGGGTACAATGAGCTTTTTAAAAAATTGACCTGCCAATTATACGAACCTTTTAGGATTAGTCAATCTTAGATTATCTCTATTACATAGGATGGTAAGTCAAAAAATATTGCTATAAATAAATTTATTTTTTTGGGGGGTGGGTACCGTGGTGACTTATGTATTGCTGTGATGCTGGAAATTCTATCACTTGTATCTCAAATTCCAGCCAGCATATTCACCCAAAGTAAACAGGTTTCAGATCAGCTTCAAGACTAGGAGACAAAATTAGAAGGTCTTGGCTCCCTACTTCAGAGAAAAGAGGGAATAAAAACTTTATGCATCGCTTCAAAACATTGTCAGATACTGAAGGCCTAATGAGTAGAAGCAGAACATTGTTGGAGAGAAAGTGTCGGAGGATGGGCCCTTCAGATTTGAGGGAACTCAAAATGTGACTAAGAGTTGATTTATGAGTGGAGTCAGCCATGATGACTTGAGTCAGGTAAAGTCTGTGAGAGAGGAATCTTCGAGTTCTTCATTTGCTGATTGGGCACAACTCAACTGCAAAATGTGTGAGGTATGAATATAGGAAAATTGAAGTCCTCAAAAATGAAATGGGACACAAACAGATCAACACCCTAGGCCAGGGGTCCTCAAACTTTTTAAACAGGGGGCCAGCTCACTGTCCCTCAGACCCATTGGAGAGCCAGATTATAGTTTTTAAAAAAACTATGAACAAATTCCTATGCACACTGCACATATCTTATTTTGAAGTAAAAAAACAAAAGGGGCAAAAACACCCAGCGGGCCGGCTAAATGTCCTCGGCAGGCTACATGTGGCCCGCGGGCTGTAGTTTGAGGACGCCTGCCCTAGGCATTAGTAAGCTGAAATGAACTGGTATGTGCCATTTTAAATCAGAGAAGCATGTTGTTTATTATGCCTGGAATAACACAATAAAGCGGAATGACATGGCATTCATTGACAAAAAGGACACTGCAAAATCAATCATGAAGTACAATGCTGACTGTGATAGTATTATATCTATCTGCCTTCAAAGAAATCCAATCAATACAACCATGATTCAAATTCATACACCA